TTTTATAAAAATTTTAAAATCAAAATTTGACGAGAATCGTAAATATCACGGCCCTTTAAAACACGCATAACCGAAGTCCGCTCCGAATCGTTTTTCGTAAGCAACGGTTTATCGCTGCGCGTAGATATAAATTGAATACCAATACGTATCCCACTTTCCCGACTACTTACGTACAACAGTGGTCGCACCCGGCATCACTTCTTGTTTTTTTTTTGTGTACATCTAATATACTAGCTGTCCCGCCCGGCTTTGCCCGTGCAATAAATGCTCGTCTTTATGTTCAGGTTAGGTTACTACGGGCAAACACAAAAAATTATAACTGTCGTTTACCTTCCAATTTTTAAACCCGGGCTTTGGAACACTCGCAGCAAGCGGTTTCAGAAAACACGCGTGACAGAAATTTCCATTTTCACATTTATATGGATAGATTAGTTGTAGAATAATATTATATGCCTATTACGTTTAAAACGAATCGGAATTTTCGACGAGTACGATATTCGTTTTACTATACGAAAATAGATCTTTTGGAGCGCATTTTTAAACTGCTGCAACTATAATTCGGTAACGGTTTCCGGGTATGCATTTAAACCCGTTTCCAATAGTCATCGTTAGGGCTCGTTAGGAGTTGCATATTTGTCTGTATGCATTGAATTTATAGCAGACCAAGCTAGAAACACTCTATATACTATAGAAAATTAAAAAATTGAAATTTCAAAATGCATATTTTGCATATTTAAGGAGTTTTAGAGGAAAAAGTGCATATTTCGTCGGTTTTCATCGATTTCCAGTCAGATTCCCTTTCGGGGAAAATGCTACACTTTTAAACCGGAGCAATATGTCTGGTTGGAAAATTGTACACAGATGAATAAAAAAAAAAAAAAACAAAACCATTGGCTTCTTCGCTCCATTCGGAATTTAAAATATTATACAATCTGCGATAATGCGCGTCTTGCAATCACAATAATAATACGCAATACGTAATGTGTAATAAATGATTGCTTTGTAAACGCGATCGCCCTGACCACATAACATTATTGCATTCGACCGAAACAAATGTCTTATAGAAAAATACGATTTGAATATTATACCATCGTCGTTAACATTTTAACGAACAGATAACACGATGAATCATTTCTAGAACCATTGTTCGAGTTGTTTTATTATATTATGAAAAGCAGACCGACAGGAAACGCAATGTATAACAGAATACCATAAAAAGAAATTATTATTATTGGTTTTTTTTTTTTTTTTTTTGTTTTATTACAGATCGCGTTTAACGTACAGGAAATGTAATATAATAGAATATTCCGAGTGGAGATATTATTATTTGTTTTCGATTACAGATTGCTTTTGTCGTATGCATTTGATATTAATGCTCGGGTGATTTGTATTTATTTTCTCAACGATAACACCGAAATCGAATTAATCAATCAATCAATCGTGTTACAATGTCGCTTAGCGGTTGTGCGAAATGATAACAATAACGTGTTCTCAAATAATAATTATCGAACGAAAAAAAAAAAAAAAAACAATCGACGGAACAACAGATATTATAATGCTATTATGTTGTAACAAATGACAACTATTATACGCGTTATACCCGACGGCGAAAACTTATTTCGTTCAACGTTCAACAATAATCCGTGCGCGTTCGCGCGATTCGACCAAACACGAGTTGTATTTACGCGTCAACACGCGTTTGATGCCGTCAATTTCAATATCGGGGTGGGTCGGCCCGTTCGAAAAGCGCGGTTAAATTGCTCGCGATAGGACACGATTGTGAAATTTCTCCGTGTCCCCGTTGGAAAAATCGGAAAAAAAAACCAACGTCTAAACGACGACAAGGATCTTCGGGCGTGACCACGGACAAACGCGCCGCGACGCTAAAACTAAACGGCGCGCACAATCGGTCTCCGCGCGCACGAAATGACGAACGAGACACGGCGACATTAACCGATTCCGCGCCGTTCGCCGGTAACCGCGTGCCGCGCAAATCGGAACAAACGCGCACACGTTGAAAAATGTCGATTCGCCGTGATTAGTGGGCCGCCCCGCTCGCCCCGTCGAAACGTCCCGGACGGCGAATAACGAAAATGCTTTTGTCGCCGTTATCATTACTGTTGTTATTGTTATTTTATTATTCGACACGTCCGTCACGCCGGCGGAGTGTTTGTCCGACGATTCAATAGCGCCATGAATATTTCACATCGTTAACGGCGCACCCGAAACATCAATCGCTGTCACGCGTCGGCCGCGAGGGGTGCCGCGCGGCAAACAATTATTTGGCCGCCCCTCCCCGTACCGCCGGTATACCGAAATTTCGCGAACAGTAAACACTTTCGACGTGACTAACGTGTAGCATTCGTGCAAACATCCGTCCGCCCCGTCGGTTACTTCAAAAGGGACGGATAAACCTCATTGTAAACGGGTACCCCCACGGCCGTCTATCAGTCGGTATCCGGCCGGGCCGTTATCCGTCCCCTCGGCAAAAAAGGACCGGCGCGTTTGAAAATTCCGGCCGCGCGAGTAACCGGAGAAACCCGAAAAATAATAACGTAAAGCACTCGCAGTGCGACCCGGCCCTCGCGATACGGTCCCGTTGCCGCGAAACCGTCTGTCGTCCGCCGTGTTAAAAAATACCCTCAAACCAACTGCGTTTCGATTAAACCGCAATATCATTAAGCGTCGAACGTGCGCAGGAGAAAAACCGGTATCATTTCTAGGTAAGAATTTTGAATTTTCGCTAACCGTAATAAAAGCCAATATTTTTTAAGACACGATTTTTTAGAATTATCTCATATATGCTTATGTGTGCTATATCATACGCAGTGTTTTTGCGAGTCGATTAAATTGAGGAGGGGGGCGACGGATTTTAAAGCGGCTCTTTTTATTCGGAGACGACTAGTGCAGTTGTTTTTTTACAGTTTTATTAAACGTTTCTCTCGCCCCGTCCCCCTTGAACAATCCCCGGATCCGCCGGAGACAGCGTAATCGGGAATTCGCGCAATGAACGAATACGTGAATACGCGTTTATATCCAAATAAAAATGTCCGTGTTTCCGTTTGAATTGCCGTGATAAGAAACGATAACAAAATAACGTTGTAGGTATTTTCGGTTCCGATAACCGATTCCCGTAATCCGAAGTGCGATTGCGATTTTTCTAATCATTTGTATTGCTTGTTATATTCGTTCAGTTATTGTAATATAATAATATAAAACTACGATGGTGTCATACTCTGCGCGTGGACGTGTGAACAGGAGACAAAAAAAAAAAAAATGGTAAAATTCACTTTCTAGGTAAGTAGGTGACCCGTGAAAAATTATTTTTCAAAAATTGTTTTTATTTTTAGTTTCCTCTGGAGGATAACCTATCTTCTGATATTACATTGAATCCGGTAAGCCGATTACTCGAGTTGACAGAAATTATTATATTTAACGAAATTTTAATTGTCGCTGCACAACAGAGTAGATGCACTTGTGTTTTTCATAGATCTATTGTGATTGTATTTAACATACATATAGTATTGCGATTCGTGCATACAAATAAATGCATTTTATTGTAAACTATGATAATATAATGTACTTTTTAATTTGTAATTCTTTTTAAAATAACACCCAAACGTCGCAAACGTTAATATTTAACAAACGTGTTACTTAATGGATCGACACGATTATAATACAAAGGTGTATCCTTTGTGTTTCACTCGTATTACACAGTCGGCTATCTAGTTGTTTGATATATCTATGACTGTATTATTTATTATAGGTATCTCGGCAAATGAACACACCTGTGTGTAGACTAGCTCGGCACATAATATTTATCTGAAAGGTCCCTCCCCCCATCGTGTCCATATTCCGATCCGATTCCTATCCTCCGCCGATCAGTTCGAAGCCTCCGCGGAGGGGGCTGAAATGGGAAAACGTTCCTGTCTCCTACGCCTCTACATATATACACGATGATTCATCAAGCGCGCTCACTCCGTTTTTTCGGTTAAGTTTTTCATGCATGGAAATTCTGACTTTTGGAAATTTTAAATTTAGTTGAAGACGATATTTTCGAATATTTAGATTGTTCACGACATTTAAGGAGTATCCTGTAGCGATATAAACGTTGGTTTTTCAAATGAGGATCTACATCAAACGTTTCATAAACATATAGAGTATCGATTTAATTTCGGTCTAAATTTTTTGATTTTCGTCAACCCGTTGACGAGATATTCGACTTATAAGTTTAGTTAGCGGGAGAGTAGTGGAGAACTGTTAACACACCGCGCGCCGCATCACGACACGAATGACGACACTCCATTACACTCCCCCAACCTAAGCTTCGAAAAGTCGAATATCCCGTCAGCGGGTTATGGTAAATCTAAAATTTCAACTGTAACTCGGCATCACAGTTACTATGAGTAACTTGACGTCACCCACGGTCAATTCTAAATATTTGAGTGAAAAATAAGTCGGTGTTTAAGCTAAAACCGTTCTAACGACAAACTTCAAGCTTCCATAACTTGTTTAATAATGATTTCCGCAAAAAAAATCAAACAGTTCCGAAAAAGGCGTAAAAAAACTACATGTTTAAAAAATGAAAAATAAAGGTGCCCGGTAAAGTGAACTTATTCTGTTTCGTAAAAAAAAAAAATAAAAAAAAAATTTAAATAATAATTTTAAATTACGGTAATGATCACAATACAATCGGGCGGTCGGTAGGGGAACGGATTCAGATGATTTTTTTTGTGGCCTCTGTTTGCCTGGTTACACGTACGACGCCATGTTTAAAATACGCCCAAACAAAAAAAAATTGATTTCGACAATGTTATGATGTTGTACGACAATTTTAAAAAATGAAAGAACCGGGCGGGCGGTAATTGGCGGGCGAGTCCGGCCGTTTTCGAACGGATTATCCCGCGACCGGGGCTTTATCATAGTGTCGGACACGTTGTCATTATTGTAAGCGCCGTGTAAGTAATCGCAAGCACGTTGTAATATTATTGTCCGACCAAATGAACGCGATCGGCGGCGTGATAGATGCCGAACAGGAATTGGAATACGTTTTGGAGGTGCCGGTCGACCACGCGACCGCGTTGCAGGACAAGCTGATGCTGACCGGCGTGCCGGAACGGTGCATCAGGGTGGCTAGGCCGTCGCGGCACGCTCAGGTCAGCCAATCGGATACCGGACCGGAACCGAACGACTATCAACCGTCGCGGGCCAAGCCGTTCACCCGTTTTTTGCCGGGCGCCATAAAGCTGGGCACGTACGCCGAAGGCATGTACAACGTGACCATACGTCGACGGCCGTTGCCGGAGGGCCGCGAGACGGTATGCATATCGCTGTCGTCGCCGTCGGCGGCGGAGCAGGCGGCCGAGGTGGAAATTGTCACGGCCGAGAAGATCGTGACGCCCGGACGGGACGATCAGCAGCACTCTGCTAACCAATCGCGTTCGGTCATGGACGGTGGCGGCGGCGGTGGTGTCGTCAACGACGATGACGGCGAACCGGTAACGATACCGATTTGCCATTGCGACGATACCGAGTGCGAGAATTACCGCATGAGAGTTTGCGAGTATTTCGCGAACAGCGGCACGAACTACACGAACGTCTGCGGTGCCACGGATTGCGTTCACAAGCAGATTGTCGACGCGCTGAAGTTGACGGAAAGCTCCAGCACCGACCGCGTCGCGCCCGCGGACACCGTCGAAACCACCGCGGCCCCAACGGCCGCCGCCACTAACGGACCGGCGAAACGCGACGTCCCGGCACAGCCCAGGACCGCCGACCCGGGCCCGCGATCGGTCAAGAGCCGTAACGTGGCCAACGAACCGAAGCCGGTTACACGGACGGTCCCGGCAGACGACACCGCGGTCAAGAAGAAAAAGTGGTCGATGAAAAAGAAGGTGGACTCGCGCAAGGACGACGGGCATTCCTGTCCGACCAACGTGAACAGTGTCTGTGACTGTAAGACCGTAACCGGGAATACGGGTTTCAAAAACGTGGACGCATCGCTGAAGACGGCGAAATTAAATCCGCGATCCTAGGCCGCAGAACTGTAATCGAACGGAGGCGCGAATTATCATTTGTTAACGTTTATTTTCTTCGTTTAATTTGATTTAAATACTTCTTATGAAAAAAAAAAAAAAAAAAAAAAAAAAC